TATTAATACATGACCCATTGCTGTGAATGACGATCTCTTGTTTACATTTGCCTATTTAAATATATAGAATACATGGATTCACTTTGTAGAAGGTCTGCTTTCCATTTTTATGGGAAAACAATGTTATGCTTTTGTCTGTTTCTTGATGCTTTATAGTACAGTCCTCCATGTTCTTTTGCTAAAAGCCATCCTCTGTTTCACTTAGGGATATTCATGTTCTTACGTTTGAAATTGAGTTTTTGCAGCAGTGCTTGAAGCCACAGAAAGTGCACAACTGTAAAAATGTAATTCTATTCACTTGTTTGTGTGTATGATTAAAAAGTGTTAACCTAGAGATTGTCAGACACCACATCAGAGCTATCTCTGTTTTCTTGAATCTTAGACAGCTTCTTGTATATTTTTGGTTCTCACTTCATTTCAAAAATAGTTAGTTGCAATTTTCTAACCAGAAAACTCTTGCTTTAAATTTTAACACCATTTAGACATATGCCACACTACCAATATTCCTGTGTCAAATGTAGCTTGCTTAATTAAATGACTGTTGCTTCAAAGAAATCATTGACTAACTTAAGAACTAAATAATGATGTAATTGAATGTAGCACTGCTGAACAAAAGCAGCATGCTAAAAGCATTCAAGATGGTTTGCAACCAGGTCACCTTGCTATAAACTCCATCCATAAACTTTGTCAGATTGCTTATAGATATAACAGCACAGCTTTTCCTGAAGTTGGGCTAAATGAAGTATCCAAACATTAAGTCCTAACATATCAATGTCTTTACAGTTCCTATCTTAAGGATCTTTTAGACTAAAGCCAAGAATCAGAATATTCATTTGAATGCTTCCTACATTTTTTCCACCAAATTAACATTTTTTTTCTTTTGTGCTGTTTGAAGAGTCAAGCAATTAGGAAGGTATGGGAAATCTTGAATCCTGGAATAATTCACCATTATATCATAACTATTGTTTTAGATACCTTGAATGAAAAATAAACTATGATAATTTAAATACTAAATTTAGAAGGCAGATCCCCTTCTCTTGTATTTATTTGCCCATCTGACCAGATCAATTAGGAACAATTTCCTTCATCCACCTGAGAAGGCCTTAGAAAGAAGTATTTCCAGTAGCTGCTCTCAACCTTTAGAATGCCCTTTGGTAAAGTTTTGGCCAGCTGTTTTCCTCTGGTCTTTAGGACTATGGTGAACATTTAAGTTATTCTGTCTTGCATAAGAGGGGAGTATAGTATTACTGAAAGTGAGATTTGCAAGTGATGACATATTACTTCATTCTTTTTTTTAAAGAAGTTTTTTGATTTTGTTATTATATACTGTATTTTTCAGAGTATAAGAAGCACTTTCCCCCGCAAAAAAAAAAAAACAGAGTGAAAATTTGGGTGCATCTTATACACTGAATGTAGCCCCACCCACCCTCACCAGAAGCCACAAACGTGAGGCATAGAGGTAGCGATGGTCTGTGGCAATCCCTGCAGCCTGGAACAGCTGATTGGGAGTATTTTGGCAGTCGATCCACCTGCCAATCAGCTGTGTTGAATCAGGCTGCAATAAGTGCTAAAGCTGACAGGGCTGGTCAGAGATTGCAGCAGCAATCACATTCAGAAAGCAGAGTAACTGATCCAGCAGGATTCAAAATAATAATAAAAATATACAATACATTACCAAAAGCAGATTTTCCAAGGTACCAGTAAATACAAGCAAAACACAAGCAGTTATTCGAAGTGCTTTTTCTTACTAA